CCTGCTGGTTAGATTCATATGGACCGGCTGGTGGGAATGGTTTATGGGGAGCTATGGAAGTGGGGCTTTGAGCCTTCCATCTCTACTTGCTTTTAACCTCAGTCAAAAGGTATGAAAATTAATAGATATCTCTGTCTTATATTTTCCCCACCCCTCCAGTTTTTCTGAATGAGGATCTCAAATGAATATTGGTCCAATTAAATGCATCTGATTACAACTCTTACACCAAAAAGGAAGTGAGTTGAAAAAATGCAGCAAGAATTGTGGATATCAAGTTACTGAGTTTCTACTGGGGAACTGAATTATAAATAAATGTGTTAGGTAGTAGAATTTTGTTTTGTTTCCCCCAAAGGAGAAATTGTCGCCACATGGAAACAAAATTTATTCAGCATATTTTTGTTCCATAATTGCACCATTTCTATTCTTAATTCTTTGAGTTTCTGATTCAAAGTGAAAAACACAAAAACAGACTGTTGTGTAAAATTGACGGGAACGAGTGTGAACCTGGCTGTGAGACACATAGGTTGTTGCAAAATTAGCCACGGAAATAGCTTCCTATTCTGGAGGTTAAAAATAATGTATTGAGAAGGAAGTTATTTACGTTGGCTGTTGAAAGGCTTCCCCGGGAGCCTGGGTTAGGAAAGCTGTGAGGCCCACGGTGGGTGGATGTGTGCAGGAAGCGGTTCCAGTGCTCTGGGATTGCTCGCCGCCACTCCATGCCGGTGACAGGAAAAGGGACCTGTCTTGCTGCCCGGGGTCTTCTCCGATTGTGAAAGAAACTCAAAAGCCAAGCCCTGCTTATTCTAAAGTTTGTGCTGGCCAACAAATTAATCTCCTGGATTACAGCAATGCTGTGTTTTGAGCTCCCAGATGAGAGAACCTTTTCTCAGGATATGTTGTGTCCAGCGTGCTGGGGGTGGGGGGGTCCTGCAGACCATGCCGAGGCGGGGCTTCCTCACAACTGGACAGTGCAACCTTCCAGGACCTTCTTGATGAAACTGAATGTAAAAACAGAGAGCATCCCTGCAGGGGAAAAACGAGTATTTGTGGGAGAAATTCCTTGTTGCTGCTGTTTCGTGAACTGCAAGCATATTTGTTTGAGCTGCTTACCATTTTTCTCTAACCTCTGCACGTCCCCATGTCTCTTGCATTCATTTCTGTGAAAGCTCCCCCCACCTTTTTCTTGACCTCAGGTTAGGCCAGAATAATTTCAGGTCTGTTTCTCCTCAGGTTTCTGGCCTGGCCCTTTCTAGGCCATGCATTACAATTATTTGGTGGTTTATTACTTGAATAACCTCAATTTCAGTAGCAGCATCTTCAGAAAAGCGATTAATAAGAGTATTATGAGTTTAAAAATATTCTTTATGTATGCAAGTTTTCTTCTAGTTTGGAAGAGGATGTATGTCTGTATTCGTGCTCACAAAGAACCAAAGCATGGGTGGTTGAGAACTGTCCAGGTATCTTAGAGGGGATAAATTGGTCTGTTTAAGAAATGCTCTGTATGCTTGTTTGGGGCTTGTGTTTTGGCAAGGCTGGGAAAGTTGCTTTAAATGTAGATATCAGTGGTTTGTATCATTCAAGAATGTTTGGCTTCACTTATCACTGCTGAATAGGTTTGGAGCCCGAGTTGACAGCTACTTTAGTTTTTGACACGCTTCCCCACTTCGGCACATTTGATGACAGTATATTCTTGCTCACTGGGGGTGTACACGGAAGGGGGCATTAATTAAGCTTTACCTTTGGGGCTTTGCCAGTAGATACGTTGAATTCTGTAGGCATATGAATCAGTATTTGACCAATTACAACAAGGAAGAGGTAGACAGGGAATGGAGAGATTAGAGTATTAGGAATGTGTGTATTTACCTCTTAATGGTTTATCTCAAAATAAAGAGTGAACACTATTCTCATCTAAGAGAATTCGCCTGCTGATTTCTGTTCCAAGAGGGTGGAAGGATGGGTGGGTGGTGGTGGGGTGCAGCTGCTGAGGCAGAACTCGCTAGAAGTTGTCACTGGGAGGGCATCTGGTAGACCACACACACGGGGTGGGGGGGGTGCTTGGCAGAGAACACTGAGCCAAGTGCCGAGAGATTTTGGTTCTTGGTTTGGGCGAATAGATAGTTGTGTGTCTTTCATCCAGCTGGATAGCCTTTATAATATTTAATAGTCTCAGTAAAGTGACAGGCCTGCATATGGGGTTGTAATTTTTTGTGGTTCTCAAAACCCTGATTTTAGATCCACCTTGTTAGTTGATCCTGACAGCAAGTTTCTCGATCAGTCTTGCCTGTCCAGAGCTACTCTAGTTTGACAAAAAATATAATCTAATAATATTTACTCATAAATCATCGTTTTTCCTATGTCAGTTCATTTAGTATCAATAAAGACCAAAGAAGGGATTCTTCGAGGAGGGAGTCAGCTGATTCTTACTGTGGTGATTTTTAAATCATAGTCTCGTGTGATTCTCCTGAAGGATGAGACGTTTAATCTGAAATCAAGAAAGGTCTTTTGCCAGAGGAACATAAAATTAGCCCAATTGTTGAAACTGATGCTGACTGCATGGTGTTTGGTATAGAGCGTCTAGGAGAAGCCACTGGGGAGGTGAGTAGTTCAAGGCCCTGCTGATTTCAGGAAAGATGAAAAAATGTTGAAATCAAGTGGGAAGAAGGAAATGTGGCAAATCACAAGGAACTAGACTGTTTTTAAAAGAGAAAATTTCATTTTACCTGCTTTTTTCCAGCACATTCCATTTGATATTTTAGCTTTTCTCGATAACTTAATAAAGACTCTTAGGAAGGAATTGTAAAACTTTACTGAAAGAGAATTTGTCATTTGTGACATTTCTTCTCCAAAGAGCATGGGAAGATCAATGTATTAGCTTGTAGTTCATACATTACTAGTTCTAGCTATTTCTGTTCAGAAGAGACAGCACGTTAGATAGCAAACCTTGGAGGTGGGGCATTCTGGCTCAGTCCCTCCAGCACTCACTGAACTCTGCTAGGGACCAGGCGTTGCGTGGGGCACCACATGGGACACATAGATGATCAAATCCTGGCTTTTAAGGAGAACCACTACTTACATTTCAGAAGGTAAACCAGTGGCAGACAGATAATCCAGAGTGATATAAAATCAGCATAAACAAAGCATGGGGATGTTGGCCCTGTGTCCAAACTATGCACAGAATCTGGCTGCTTCTCACCCCCTGTACGCACCTGGAGCCAGTCTCTCTGCTCCCACCCTTGTACCTGGATTCTCTTCCACACGGCAGCCAGCACAGTCCTTTGGAACAATGTAAGTCATGGCGTTTGACTCCCCAGCCCCACACCCTCCAGTGGTTCCCAGTTTCACCAGATGCCAGAGACTCTACAATGGTTTACAAGGTCCCAGGCACATTTATAACCTCCTTCACCACTCTCTCTCTCTCTCTCTCTCTCTCTCTGACTTCTCCTACTGCTCCGATCCTCGCTCACTCCCTTCTACCCACTGTCTTCCTCAATGTTCCACGGGCCCGCCACACACGTTCCCACGTGAGGGCCTTTACAGCGACGCCCTCTGCCTGGGACTCTCTCCCAGAGATCCTGCATGAACAACTCCTCAGTTCTTTCCATCTTTACTCAAAGTCACCCCCTCGGTGAAGCCTCACCCAGATTACCTATTTTCAATGGCAACTCGCCTCCTGCCATGACCCACTACTCTCCTCGTCCTGCTCTTTTTTCAAAGCACTTATCACTTTCTGGTTTACCCCATGATTTACTAATTTATTAATTTTTGTTTAACCGTTGTCTTCCTTCATGGAAAAAATGTAACCTTCAAGGAGAAAGGATCTTTGCTTTGTTCAGTGTTGTACAGTCTGGAACAATCCAGAACGATGCCTGGCATGCAGCAAGTAGACTGTTGCAACTACTTGTTGAATAAGTGAGCAAATGAACGAAAAGGAGAGATTAATTCTGAATGAGAGTTCTGGGGAGAATCACGGAGAAGAAACCTTGGAGCCGAGTGTTGAAGAGAAAGCAAAATTGGACATTCAGGTTTTCTGGAGGAAGACATTCCAGACGGAACATCTTGAGCAAAGGCAGAAGAGGGACGGAACATATGAGTGTTCCTGAAATGGCAGGAGCCCCAGATGACCGTGTTTGGGGGTGGGCATTCAGAGTGGGAGTGGTGGACAGGTGAATTAATGGACAGAAAATAATTAATTATTTCTGTAAAATAATTAAAGGGGACTCTTTGTGGAGTAAGGGAACGAATTATTAATCTCTGCCTGGGGTAAATTGGAATCAAGGACTCTCCACCAAGTAGCAGTTATGATGTGGTCAGTGTTGTCACTTTAAGACTTCATTAGTGTGAATCGTTTTTGCTAACGAGATCTGATTTTTATATAGTACTTGACTCATTTCAAGCATGGTCTCACATTTATTATGATTTAAGTTTCATAAGAACTGGGTGAGATTGTAATATATAGCAGTTATTTACATTTTTTGAGCAACTTTTTAGAAAAAAGTTAATTACCTCTTCTATCAACCCAGCTAAGTGGCTTGCCCGAGGGCACTCAATTAGGCCCAGTCTTGTGGCCAGCATCATCCCGCTCTGCCTGCTGTCTCTCTAACTCTGACTCAAACTAAAGACAACTTGTTGGTTTTCTACAAGGGCACAAGCTTCTTTCCACTTGCCCTGGGACTGAAAAATAGCAGTTACTTCTTTACCAGATCGATTTTTTCTCTTTACTCCTTTTCCTCTTCCAAGTACCCAGGATAATTATCAGAAAGGTTAATACATGCCCTGAGTGGGTGTGTTTTTACCTTTGCCTGTTTAGCATTTTACCTCCTTTTGGGCTTATGCCAAGACAGTCTGACTCAGCACCTGACATTCCAGTCAGGTGGTTGTTGTCTTTCATGTGGTTCTTGGGTGGAAGGGAAGAGGATGCATGTGAGCAGCGCCGTTTGAATGCCTTCAGACTTGCCCGTTGCTCACTTGGGCAGTAAACCTGGTCTTCTTCATTCCCCCAGATGTTAGTAGGCAAGAAGAGGCGGAGGGCGAACTCAGTGAAGGAGAACACTGGTATGGAAACTCCTCGGAGACTCCGTCCGAAGCATCCTATGGCGAAGTCCAGGAGAACTATAAGTTGTCTCTGGAGGACCGGATCCAAGAGCAGTCCACTTCCCCTGACACCTCCTTGGGAAGTGCCACTCCCAGCAGTCACACATTGGAGCTGGTGGCACTTGACGGCGACGTCCTGCGAGACTCCCTGCAGTGTCAAGATCACCTCTCGCCTGGTGTGTCCTCTCTGTGTGAAGACGACTCCCCAGGGTCCATGAAACCTTTGAGCAGCAACTTGAGGCGGCTGCTGGAGGCTGGGTCCCTTAAACTCGACGCCACAGCCACGGCCAATGGCAGGGTGGAGTCCCCGGTAAACGTTGGCTCCAATCTCTCCTTTTCCCCACCGGCCCACCATGCCCAACAGCTCAGTGTTCTTGCCAGGAAGTTGGCAGAGAAGCAGGAACAGAATGACCAATACACTCCAAGTAACCGTTTTATATGGAATCAAGGTAAGTGGTTGCCAAACTCAACCACCACCTGCGGCTTGTCCCCCGATTCAGCCATCCTAAAACTGAAAGCTGCAGCCAATGCTGTTCTGCAGGACAAATCTCTCACCAGGACTGAGGAGACCATGCGATTTGAGTCCTTTTCCTCCCCTTTCAGCTCCCAGTCTGCCAGTTCCACCTTGGCAGCTTTGTCCAAGAAAGTCAGTGAGAGAAACTTGACTCCTGGTCAGGAACATCCCCCTCCGGCCAGCCCTTTCCTTTCCCTGGCTTCCATGACCTCCTCTGCCGCCCTTCTCAAGGAGGTGGCTGCAAGGGCTGCTGGGAGTCTTCTGGCTGAGAAGTCATCACTGGTGCCTGAGGATCCCCTACCGCCACTGCCTTCCGAGAAGAAGCAAGAAAAGGTGACCCCGCCACCTCCTCCACCACCTCCACCACCTCCACCACCACCGCCACAGTCCTTGGAATTATTGTTACTCCCAGTTCCTAAGGGAAGAGTTTCCAAACCCGCCAGCTCAGGTAAGGCATCTTTGATTTCCACCTTCGTGTTAGGCTTCTGGATGGTAAATTGCTAAGTCTTCTTATTTCATTTTTGCCTCATTTGGTTGGGTTCCCCATGTGAGCTGAGGCAGGAATAAAAAAGTGGGATCACAACAGAGTGCTTTAAATAAGCAGTGTGGTGGTCTTTCATGTATGTCTGATACAAAGACTTCACAAATAGCTTCACCGGTGAAAGGTAATGAATAATCTTGGAGATACACAGTACTCTCCTCCCTTTCATAGACGTGACTTTTTTTTCATTGCCAGGTTCAGGCTAAGTCCATACAAGAAATGTTTAATGGGAGAAGATCAAAGCATCTTTGTCATGGAGCCTGTGGCATCACTGAGCATAGGGGGGGAGAGTGCTTTTGAAATATTGGACAAGGGGGAGCCCACCCTTCCCGCTGCCTCCATCACAAATGGGCTTTTGTAGAATCAGCAACTACTCTGCCCTAATTTATCACATTCAATACTATTATGTTAGCATTTTTATTACCTTTTTGTGGAATGTAAGCCCCTTTCACTTATCCTGCTCTTCTGTAATTCCTTGTCACACAAAAACTCTGAAGAATATTATTATTCAGACTTAACCAAAGCATTTCCTGCAAGTGCCTTATTTTATTCCAGCCCAATCAGATTCTGAGGGATTCTGAGATTTCAACGTGCATGTGGAAAATCTGAATCATAAGTTTTTTCTGGTGGGAACAGTCTTTCCAGAGGAGAAGTCTCTGTCCTGTAGAGCGAGTTACTCATCTGAGGGAGAAATGTAGTCACTTGAGTTCTCACTGTGGAAACATCATTTCTTGGACGGGTTTACTTTTAAATTGTGCACATGATAAATACATGGTCCTGGAGATGGAGGTATGGAGTTACAGATGTCTCCTGAGGATATCCTGCCAGACTTGAACAGGAAGTAGGCTGTGTGTGTCCCCATCAGTATAAACACCACCACTGTGTCTAGCCAGCTCCGGTTATTTGCAGCCACATTGATGAAGAGGATTTAGAATGGCAAATAATTGACTGAACGATCGCATGTAACATCAGTTTGATGCATTTATGACAAATTTCCACTTAAATTGCTGAGTGAGCTATATGCACTAATTATAATTACTTTAAAACTTGTGTAAACAGCAGAATACAACTAGGAAAATGGATCTCTGGAATTTTTATGACTCTAAGCGGTCCAAATCGTTCTCGCCAGAGTTTCCAAAGTGTCAATAAAATCCTGAAATGTTTATCAGTTCTGAGTTTCATTTCTCCTCACTTCACACCTGCCATCTGGTGAAATGGAGAGAAATGGCTAAAATTTGGAAACAAGGAGAAGAGCAGAGGGAGCTGGGTAATCTTGCCATAGAACAAATCACTCCTGATTTATCAAGATTTTATTTAAGGTAGAAGCAGAAAGAGAGGCATGGTTCTATGTAAAATATAGTTTTATAAATATTCTGTGCATCTGGTTATTGAGTAAATGTATTAATGGTGTTACACTGCAAATTCACCTGGACATTAGTTGCCTGGAAAACCTTATATAAAATTAATAATAAACCTTAGTTCATTGAAGAATTGGAAAAAGGTAACTGATAAAACTGTGCCTCCTGAAAAACTAGCGGCTTTGTCCTTTTTAAGTGTCTTGGATAAAACCAGCCATAGTTGTGAAGTATAATTTTTTCACTCAGGTGACTAGATGCATGCAAAGATGAGGAGGGGGTCCTAAGCTTCCGGTGTGGGGGAGACTTTTGGCCTGTTTTGTTGTAGAATGTATACCCCAGGGAGACAGGTTCTTTTCTTGGTTTAAATGCACTGAGTTCACGCCAACAGCTGAACGAGCTTCTCATTCAGGAGTTCTATAAGAAATCGTTTTTCTCTTTTTACTAAATTTATTCTGTTGCTGAGATACTTAACATCTTAATCAATGAATGCTTAAACTGTTCACATTGAAAGAGGAGAGAGGTTCCTTTCTTGGACTGGGGCTCTGCTGTGGATTGGTACCTGCGCCTCCTGTTTTCGTACCTCTGCTCACAGCTCAAGACTCAGTGAAGCAGCCCCACAGATGCAGTAATTATATTTAAAAACCATTCATTTTTGTAAAACTCATACAAGGGGAAATATCCCTGCAGAGAAAAACTCATGAGCTCTTGAAAGGGTCACTAAGAAAATGTTCCGTGCACCCAACCAAACGGTTGAGACCTAAATTCAGGTTCCCTTACCTGTTGCGTGACCGGAAGTAGTGGAGGGGGTGCTTCTGCGCAGTTTTCAGTTGAAGCGAGTGCCATCACTTCCCAGCTTCGTTAGTAGAGGATGGGTTAAGGAGGAGTTGGTAGAATATTCATTTGTTGTTTACCTTTATATCGTGGAGACATGATTTGGTTGGTGTTACTTGGGCCACTGATTTTTTAATCTGAGGGGTGGAAGGGAAGGTGTGTCTTCTGCATCTGGCCCCCCCTCCAGTTCACACGCTGTATATACTGTTGGTCTCCAGGCAACTGGGCAGTTGGATTCGCACGTCCCTTGGCTCTACCTAAAAAGCGTTCGTGGGGGTGTGGTGAGAGCAGTCACCCACGTTCTTAAACATTTCGTAGTTTTTTATTTTTCCCTTTACCTTAGAAAGAAATATTAGTTTAATTCAAAATAGATAGGTGGACCATTTTCTCACAGCAGAGAAAACAATTCTAATATTGTTGCTTAATAACTTAAATAAATAGTAACTAAAAAATCTACAAAAATAAACTACATACTATACGACTTGAAGCAAGGATTCCATTTTCAAGCTATTTCTCAAATGTTGCAAAAAGGCCATATCAAGTTGATTCTAGAGTTACAAAGGTATGTGCTAGAAAAGCCAATGTATTGAGCAGTTTAGACTCAAGCATTTCTTTGACCTTCTTTAGGTCAAGAGAAGTCCAAACCATGAAAAAAAAATGTGTCTTTCAGGTCTGGCCTTACTCCTCTTTTTTGAATAGGATTCAGTTGTTGCCAGGTCACGTGTATTTAATTCCGTAAAGAGTCCACTGCTCGATAGCCTTTCCCCCTGCGAGACAGACGTGACACTTGAGGAGAGGTTTCTCTCATGTGACCCTGTGCCCCAGCACATGCTACGCTGCTCCTCTGAAAGGGGACATGATGGAAGGAAGATTATGTCCGTTTGCTATAAAGATAAATGTCACACATTGACTCAATTCTCTTTGAAGCTACTGTTCTATTGCAGCTCAGGGAAAAAAAGTAAATGGTTTTTATTTTACAGACAACAATTTTTGTGGTAGGCCCTCAAGATTCTTAAGATGCCAGGCTCCTAGTTAAATGACAAGGAGAGTTTCAGAGGGTCTCCAAAACATCTTATTTTCCTAAATAAAATTTAAATATGCCTAGATGCAAGCTGGGCTCATGTGCCTGAGGGCTAAGAATGTTTCCTGGGTCAATAGCTAGGGGGTGTCTGGCTGCTGTTTTCTGTCATGTTTACATGATGTTAAAGTGATTGCAAAAGCATAGACGCTCCAGAAAGTGAGGGAACCCCTCCTGATACTCCCTTTGGTCTATGGTTATTCCAGCTGTACTCTGGCAATGATCACAGATAGGAACTTGCTTAGAAAATTCACTTTTTAACCAGGATTCAGAACTATCTGTCACCAATCTCAGTTGTATTTCCCCAGTGACTCCAGTTTAGACTGCCTCTAGATATCAGACTTCTTAGTTTTATTGAATACTTATCAGTTATTAAAATATGCATTGATGATATCAGTGTCAATTACAACAGATAAACCCAGTGATATTCATTGCTACACAGTTTTTTGTTCCCCTGAAATAGCATTTGAGAGACGCCCAAGAAATTCTATTAAAAGACATTAAGTGCATGTATTGACACACTGTTGTTTGGAAGGAGGACAGGTCCTCTTACACAGGGGTGCACTAGAGGGTTGGCAGGCCTGGGGTGCAGATGGCAGTCATGTGCAGACTCTGCACCCTGGGGCCCCTGGCACCTTGAACTCCTACATGTGTGGTAAGGTTTGTATGAAAAGACTACCCACTTGCCAATTATCTCAGTTTTCTGCAGATTGTTACATAGGATCTAACAAGAGAAAGTTTGATTTCAAAGCCTACAAAATAATTAAATTCATTTTTGAAAAAATACCTTCCTTGAGTTAAAGCAAGTAAGTTAATATAATTTTCTTTTTCTTTTTTTTAGTCCAGTGAGGTTTCGGTGCTGTTGCTTAATGAATGTATAGGTAGCCACGGGCCAGAGCTCCGATGGCGAAGAGATTGGCCTTAATCAACACCCGCCCCAACTAGCAGAAGGGCTCCAACATTTATAGTCGCTTCACTTTCCTCATCTCTGAACCCAGCTTGTCGGGAATTATCGGCGAGATTTCGTCTTGTGTGAAAATTCCTTGGGTTCACTTTGTTTATTTTTAGCTCTATCAACTAAAAAAAACCATAGCTTAAGAAACAATTTAAATTAAATATATTCCTTCTTAAAATTCACAGTCAACCCCGCACCCCTATCGCGGCCCTGTTTTGAGCAGCTCCACTCTGGTCCATTGTCAGTAGTTTAACCATTACATCCTTGTACTTCATTAATAAGGTAGTCGTACTGCGTGCATTGTTAATATAAGCTGCTCCAGGTTCATTTTGAAAATAGGTGAGGTGTAAGCTCATAGAGATCCATCCCTGTGTTTATACACCATTCATTCCAGTGGTGTATTGGCTGCTGTGTGAAAGGTATGCCATCTTGGGCTAACCTGGCTTCCACTGGGACATACTTGGCAGCTTCCTGTTTCTTTTACTTCCATGTCCAGTGCTCCTTTCACTTTTCCATCCTCTCTTGACCCCACCCTTTCTGCTTAATCTTATTACAATCTAACACACAGGTACTAAATCATCGTACATTGTGCTGGCGCCGTTCTGGGTGCTAGAGACACAATGGCGGGGGCTTCCATCCTCGGCCAGCCAGTCCCCCGCTCCACCCTCTTCTTTTTTCTTCTCTTTTCTCCATCTGTCTAGGCTGAGGCAGACCCTACCTGAGCAGCACAGTGGACAGTTGCTCTTTTATTTCGTCTAGGCTCCAATGACAAGCTACCAAGTTGGGCCAGGCCCTGAGCTATGTATTTATTGTGTGGTGCCAGTTGTTTAAATTTACATCTGCTCTAATGGCGAGTTTTCTGCTTTGGAGGGCATGACCAGAGTTTATTGTCACCACTATTACTATTACAGCTGCTACCAATAGCTTCCATTTACTGCGTGACGGGCATTTCACACACATTTATTATCTCTTTTATTCCAATAATATTATTGCCTAGAAAAAGAACATGTTTTCCCCAATGTAACAAATTAGTAGCTTTCCATCCCACTGGGCCGATTAGCATCTGATGGGATTTAGTTTTGTTTGCTGTGATAATAATTAGCTAGTGATATATTTGGGAGAAATTGTTTAGCAGACAGTTGTTAAGCTAGGTGAAATCATGAACGTTTCAATCCTGCTGCCTCAAGAATGTGTGGGTTATTTTGAGGAAGTGGTCCTATTTCCTTAAGGTCTAGATGCAGCTGTCAGCTCCTTGAAAATCGTTTGGCACACAAAATAGGATACATCCTCATTCCTCCTTTCTTTACATTAGTTTATGTCCTATACACGTGGAGGGCATCCTACTACACTATGAATCTTTTTTTCTTGAATAAATAAAAATGCAGATGTTATCAGGGGAGATTACTGGTCAACTTTGAAAACTGATTATTGTACTCTGGTTACTTTTGTCATTTGGATTGTTTTCTTCCTTTTCCTGCTACCATGGGTTAAAAAATTCAAACGGTTATAGTAGTGTAGCTGTTTGACCACGTAACTTGTGGCTAGGTTTTTATTTTTTTTTCATTGTGAGTGTTCTAATTCTTTTTCCAGTCAATCCAAGGGCACCCTAATTTGTGCATGATTCATGTGTGCTTTGGTATTAATTAAAACTAAGGAAGAGGAGCTCCGAAATAAAATAGGTTTATACAAAATGTTAACATGCTGTGTTTATGCAGTGCACTTGGGACTGCATTGGCGGTATAGATGAGGTGGGGGGGCGCTCTGGGGGTGCTCACATTTGGCAAAGCAAGGTGTCCAGGGAGGCCGCCAGTGTTCCTTGTTATTGCCTTCCTGTGATGTACTGTGCAGTCTCCATTCAGTAGAAGACATCTCAGGTTTTCTCTCATCTCCCAGACAATTCTATAAAATTAGGCAGGGAGTACTTCCTGCTTTATATAGTAGGGAGTGCTTCCTGAAGATGGGATTGGTGGCAACCTGTTTGGGTACCTCTTTCTTACTATTGTTCTTTAATGTTCTCCTATAACCCCAAGTAGACTCATTATCACTTCTCTTCCTCCTCTCTGGTTTATGACGGCATCTCCCCTAGAGGCTCAATTCAGTCCTTTCTCTCCAATCTGTTGTTCAACATGCAGTCTTCGTGATCAAGATATCAGAGTGAAGGCAATGACAATGAAGGATGGGAAATTCAAGGCCCAGTCAGGAGTAGGACTGCAGGTCAGCAGAGACAATCAACAGAAATAGACATCAGGAGGGCTCCAGTGGGTCAATGAAGAAGCCTATATGTAGATAAACCTCAAAACTGTCCTTTTCCTAGAGTAGAAGGAAACTCTCCATCCCCTCCCCATCCCCCAATCGGAAGAGGAAATACTTGTAATAGAACATGTCACAAGTAGAATTTCCCGGCTTGAAGGGCATATTTTTAGATAGAGGATTCTCTTTCCAGTTACTTGGTCAAGCCGACCCATATTGCTTCTACCTGTCTCAGTAAAACAGCGTTTTTGGAATGCCCTAACTTCATCCCAGAACCCTTCTGGTCCCGTCTGTTTGAAGTGGTTCTTTGCATGTGGAGACTCAGCTGACTCAGTGAAAATATAAAAGTATTTTAAAGCTCACACTTGGGAATATTTCCTTTTAAAATGGTAAAAGTAACATGTGCATTTAAAAATTCAAATAGTACCGAAGAATGTAAAATAAAAACAAAAGTTTCCCTCCCTGACCCCTGTCTTTTAATCCACTATCTTTGTAAGTTAACTGCATAATGGTTTCCTCAGTATGCTTCCAGACAATTTTCATACAAATAAAAGGGTATCTTTTTTGTTTGTTTGTTTCATTGATTCATCCCATTCTTCCTACTCCTCCTCCTCTTTTTTTTGTTCAGGTGTTTTAAAGCAAATCGCAGACATCATGTCCATTTGCTTGTAAATATTTCCATATATATTTTCAACAGATAAGGGACTTGAACTGATAACCACACTGACTGCTGTCCCATCTCACGGGATCAACAGTTGTTCCATGAGACTATGGAACAGCCAGGCATGTCTTCAATTCACCTCAAAAGTGTTATTTTATAATTTTATAATCAGGATCAAAATAAGCTGCACCCCTTGCCTTTTTTTATATGTGTCTTCACGTGTCCTTTCATCCATAACTCCTGCCCTTTTAAAAAATGTTATTTCCTTGTTGAAGAAACTGGGTCATTTGTCCTACAGATTTTCCCACATTCTGAGTTTGGCTAATTCTGTTCCCTTTGTGTGTTTAGCCTGTTGTTTAAATCACCTGTATTTCCAGGGAACTGCTCGTTAGATAGACGCCTGATTAAATTTTGTGTATGAATATTTCACAAGTGGTTTATCAGAGGATGTGCAATGTCTTTTCCCTTTTCAGTGACGTTAAGATTAATCGGTGGTTTTGTGTTGTCAGCCTGATCCATCCTCTATAAAGTTCCCTGTCAACCTTTCACCTAATGGTTTCAGCAGCAATTGATTCCCATTTTCTGGAAAACAAAAATAGAGACACCCCAGACATAGTCTCATGTCTTGCTTCACCCACTCACTCTTGAATATCTTGGGCATGCTTCTATATTAGCTACTATAGCATACCTCATTTTTAAAATATAGCTTCATGGATTTTATTTGTGAGTACATTACAGTTTGCAAATATTTCCGATCCCTCATGATTAAGAAAGGAAAGTTTGAGACCTGAACTCTACCTGTTGGGATTGTATTTCCCGATGGCCAAGGCCACTATGGTACAGACCAGTGCCAATCAGTATTGGGAACTTGGTGTCCCAACAGAGACCCTCCCTTGTGGAGACTGTGAAGGAGAGAGTGAGCAGAACTTTCCTTGGAGGAACCAGCTGGTTTGTTTGCTCTTCTGAAAAATCGAAGCAGGTTGGTAGTTCCTCCCAAAGCGGGCAGCAGGTGGCCGGGGCCGTGCAGGGGAAGGCAGTGCCTCTCGTTAGCGGCATCCAGCGGGACAGAAATAAGGGGGCGAAACCCCTGACCTTGAGACCCCCAATGGCTAAATTAGCAGCGGCAGCATCTGCTTGAGTCATAACTGAACAAGTCAGCGGTAGGGATCCTAAAATTTGTCTCCACTGGAGTTCAGTTTGTGAGGTTTATGGTTTTCAGCCCCTGCCGAGTGTCATTCTCTGTCCCGTTTGATTCGTCTTTATTTCTTGTCATTTTCAAGTTCAGGAATTCATGGGTGGACTCGAGTCCAGCAGTTTTCTCCCGGAAACAAAGCCCCTGAACTGAGCCCACTCTGGGCTGAGCAAGGAAAGGTCAGGCGAAGCCCCTTTGCAGACGTCTGACTCCTGAGTATGGGGCGGCCACTAGAAGTAAGACCTCGAGGCAGAGCGATCAGATGTTGAAAAATGGTACCCAGAGGGAAGTCATGAGATGAACGTGGGTTCCTCCCTGAAGAAAAACAGCTGCAAAACTTCCTCATGGATAACATCCTGGGATTGCCAAGAAAAAGACGTCAGACCATTTTGAGTGTTCTTGATCTAGCGCTGCATATACCTTCCTGTTTTCTTTAATGTTCCTTTCTCTCTCCTTCTTCCAAGCCTCCGAAGAGGAAAGCGGAAAGCCTTTTCAGTGTCCAATATGCGGTTTGGTTATAAAAAGGAAGAGTTACTGGAAGCGGCACATGGTAATTCACACAGGTTTAAAAAGCCACCAGTGTCCACTCTGTCCGTTCCGGTGTGCTCGCAAGGACAATCTCAAATCCCACATGAAGGTAAGCCGGCCGCAGCAGACCTTCCAACGAGTGGGGCACAGCTGAGCAGGAGAGGGGCCACTGCGGGGTGGCCGGGCTCAAGGTCACAAGGTAGATCGGATAAAGCACCTGGAATAGAGTCTTCTTGTGAAGGTCTTCATTTCCCATTTACAACCAAGAACTTCAGGACGGAGAGAACCTTCAGTGTCTAAATCATACATGTGGTGTAGAGCCGTCCCTCTTAGGGGAGCTGCAGCCTAACCAACCCTTGCATGGTGATGCGTTTCTGGGGTGCTTGGAGGGGCGGAAAGAGTACAGGAAGGGCCGCTGGACCTGCGCCCCAGAGAGAGGGCGCTTGGACCCGTCCACCTACCTGGAGAGACTGCCCTCTTCTGCTTACAGACTCGGAGGAGCACTTGACAGGAGTTTGGGGGGGGGGACTCTGAAAGACACCTGGGCTTCACTGTTACCCCTGTGGGAGGCCTGGTCCTTCCCGACAGGACCAAGTCCTCCCTGAGGCTGTCCGTGTTTGAGCTGTCATAATTCCCAGGGTCACACTTACCCAGGTAAGGACATTGTCCTCAATGTCCTGTTGAAAACAGGTGGGCTTGTGCCTGTGATGGACATACAGAGCATTGAGTAGCGTCTGTATGTCACTCTTCAGTGAGATGGGGGCTGGGGGCCTGGACTTAGTCGTCTAGAAATCTTTTTAGCAAGTGCCATTACTACTAAGGGTTTTCTCTGAAATTCAAGGAGGAAACTCAAGATCAAAAGAGAACTTGCTTTTGAACCCAAGTTTTAATCTTAATGTGCGATTTACTAGCTAAGTGGCCTTGAGCACCTGAGCCCTTAGGCTTCATTTTCTCACCTGTTGAATGGGCGTGGTAATGTTAGAAGATCTATCATTAGTATTTAAAGGGATAGTATTCGTAAAGTCACTGTCACAGAGATGTTCTTTAATAATGATGTAATTTCAGTAACTATCATCTAACACTTTAATGGTAGCAGTTATTTTTACTGGTATTTTCAATATGGTTTGGCTGTTGACATTGTTTATAAAGTTTTTACTTCCCTACCATAAGAAATATAGTCTATGTACATAATTAAGACATTTGCTTTTTTCTAAAGCTTGTCTGATCCTTCTGACTACATCAGTAATCACTGTTCATAATTGTAGCTCTAGAAAAAAATGCAAGCAGACAGAACCTATATCGACTTTAGGAAATAGCTTGGAAAGTTAAAAAAATTAAATTCATGATGTTATCTGTTTTCTATCATTTGCCTTTTTGTTCTGGGAGTAGCATGCCCTTCATCTTCGGAATCCATTTAACCAGGAGTTCCGGTTGGCCGAATTTTAGTGAGCCTACTTAGTTGTTACTTTAACCCTCCTCATCCTCTGTCACCTCTTCCCAAAGTCAAACCTCATATTTTACACCTGCAAAGTGGATTTTGCTAGCGGGATGAGACTTCAAAAGAAATGCCTTTAAAAGTAAAATTTGTTTTCATTACTGTGTCCTACGCTGTGTTCAGAAATCAGGTCTGACAAATTTAAAGCTTCAGTGAGCAGAAAACTCGCATCTCTCCTGACACCTTGTAAGCCTGGTTTCAGCTCAGGGTCACGTAAAACAACCTATTTATAAACCCATGGGGGAAAAAAGCTGGGTTTTCAAGAGCAGGAACTACTGACCCTGAAACTGCAGAGAAATGAGTTGAGGCCGTGATGATACAGACGGTCGGCCCGGACAGCGTCACCGAGCAGAGCGTCTGTATCATCACTGAGGAGAGCGGCAAGGGATTTGCAGGCGGTCGGGTCTCACGGTGCTTTCAGAACAGATCAATAACCTGCACAATAAAGCAGTGGTGTGAAATGACTGCTGCACTCAAACTCGTCGTGTGCTAACCTGTTGAGCTCCACCTGAGCCTCTGATAAGGGAGGTGCGAGAAGGGCTCATCCAAGTTTAATTTTATCAAGTGGTGTGCTGTTTCTTGTCTCTACTCTGCACCTCACTTATGGACCTGTTTTGAAAAAATTCTTTCATGCAAGGACTCATGGTTTTCATTACACATACTTGGATTTTGCTAAATTTTGCAAATAATAGTCCGCACAGAAATACGATAGTTGAGGTTTTAGAGTCAATAGATGTCCTCTGCTGCCCTCACCGGAGATTACAAAGATGGAGGGGTTTTCTAAAAACGGTTTCTGTCTAAGAAGTGGGAGCAGCACAGCCTATAGATGAAGATCTCAGACTGTGTGGTCAGGAAAACCTTAGGTAGAATCTCAGTCCCGTGTCTTTCGGTAGCTGTGAGAATTTGGGCAAATCATTTATCCTCTCCAAGCTTCCATTTCGGTTCATGGAGATAATCATCATGTGATCTATCTCAGGGGGTTGTTGTAAGAGTTAAATGAGATCATGGAATCAGCCACTTAACAGAGCCCAGCTCGGAGAAACTTTAGGTAAATGTAGCTAATACAGTAATTATTACCCTAAAGCCTTCTGAATGTACATTAACATTTACATTTAGAAATAAATTAGTGACATGGTCTAATTGGATTTCTCTAAAATAACTTTATTGTTTCCTCCTTTTGTGATAATATCTTTAGTGTTTAATTTGGAAAAACTGGTAAAAAGAAGAATATAAAACTGACCCTTAATCTCATCACAGAAATAACCTTGAGTGACATTCTAGTGTCTCTCCTTCCATGTTAATTATAGAGGTTCATTTAAGAACAGAATGGGATTCTACTTTATTTGTCCAACAAGCACAGCACTGGCAGTGTTCCTACTGGGTGCTAGGCACTGTATGTTTTTTTAAGCCTGCCTTTCCTCTGTGATATACTGTGCAGATGTTTTTATGAGCAGCAGCAGCAGGAGATGTAAATGCCTCCAGCTTCCTCAGGGTTATCTAAGATTTCCATTTAGTCTTTTACAACTTTCCTGGATGAGTGAGCATACAGGAATTAAATAGGAAATTCATAAGCTGAAGTTGAACAGAAAAGGTGAGGAGGACTGCTAAGTTAAAGAACATGGGTGAAGTAATGGCAAGAAAAAGGGGGCCAGAGTCAGGGCGCCAAGTTCTACTCGTCTCAGGCCTGCCGTCTGTCTAAGGGGCTATGACTCTGGGGGAAGCCCCTCACCCGACTGGCCAGGTCCCCCAAGGGTGGTGGGGGGGTTTCCCAAGGTTCCCCGTGTTCCTCTGACTGAGCAGTTGGACCTGCTGATGTAGCAGCACCTTCACTCCCCTCCTCTCAGGGTGGGTGGTTGCTTCTGCTTCAAAAGCAAAAAGCAGTTAGCACATCACTCTGTGGCCTGGAAACAGTGATGCGCCTTAGACAAGTGTGTTTCCTCATGAGCAGAGTAAGAAGGATTTTGAAGTCAGCGTTAAGCTGAAGAGAATAAAAATTGTGATCGAAAGAGCTTTTCAGTCAGAGGAGAAGGGGAGACGCAGCAACAGGGGGGTGGAGCTCACAGGTCTCTCCGAGGCCAAATGGGGTCCGCAGCCCCTCCGGGAAGGTGTAGCTCAAACAAAATTGTAAGTGCGAGAGTCAACACTGCGTCCACGGATTTTTCCACAACTAAATATAGCAAGGACAGGACCCGGTGGAAAAGCAGCCACATAAAATACTTGCCTACAGACTCTTTTCCATCCAGGGCTCCCTTCCGACGGGGGCTCGCTCTGTGCTTTTCCTTCTTCCAGGAGCTGCTTCTGGAGCTTCTGTTCTTGGATCAGCTCCTCTCCTCCCCTGGGTTGGGAGATGTAAGGACACTTCTAGGGTGGAGCGTGCCCCCTGCACTCTCCCAGGGACTACAGAAGCTTTCTGCCTTGTGACCTTTACCACCCGGTTCCAGGGCAGGCTTGGGGCTGGACCTGTCAGGGTCCCCTGGCGCTGTGACCTGAGGCCCCGAGGTGCCCGCCTCCGTGTGAACTGGTGGAGAAGTGGTAGGAAATCTTCCTGATTCAGTGAGAAAGCAAATGACCGATGGGCTCCAGAGTGAGATCCCTTTGTTGTGTAAGCACAGAGCGGAGTGATGTTCACAGCCAGTGACGGTGTGGCATCCCGGGCCCGCGCCGCCCAGCCCCTCCAGACCTGGCAGAGAAGGGCTTTAGTGGGCAAGACTTTGCCGCGACTGAATTTAAGTTTAGAGGGTGATTTCTGTTGAGAAAATTCATGCTTTGGGGGACCCAGAATGTCTCTTGCTGTTTTTTTCAAAAAGCCACAGTGGGGTGCTGTAGCAAGAGGATCTCACCATTAATGTTCAATTTCTTTGCTTTTGTTGGTCACTTAACATTATTTAAAAGTATGTTTTGGCTGGTGAATAATACTTTTGGATTGCATTCAGAATGCATAAACAGCTGCAGTAAAACTTGCTTTCTTGGAAAGGAGGCCTGTGCAGAGGGGCCAGGTGGTGCAGCGGGTTCACCGGCCGGCCCTTAACCTTGGTGAGACCTGGGTTCAAATCCTGAGACTCGGGTCACCCCTGACAGATGAGATGTCCATTTTGTTTTGCTTTTGAATTCCCATCACTGATTTGCTTGCCCAGATTCTACCTCTCCCCAGATCATTTGGCCCAAATCCACGCAATTGGCAGTTTTTACGCCAGGGAAGGCCAGTCCTGAAATAGCGGGGTGCGGCGGGGCAGCGCGGAAGTGCGCTGGCAGAGATGAAGGGGGGTTCACCAGCGGAGGAGCACCTGCCAGCTCAAAGCCTGGCTCGGGCCGGAGCGATGGTTTCCTCACTTTTTCAAGTGCTAAATTCGGTAGTGACCGGAAGGAAAAAAAAGTTCCTCCCAATTTTTACCAGTATAGATGTGCCCGCAAGACTGGATTTCAAAGCGTGCACTGCAGACGCCTGAATCACCGCAGCGGGAAACGCTGGTTTCATCTGACTGAGAATCCGCGGTGGGGACCCAACTGCGGTCATCCCTGCACACTCTGCTTTGTTCACATGTAATTTTGCTCAAGCCACTTGCCCTGGGGTCTCAGTTTCCATGTCTATAAAATGGGAACACTCTGGAGACATCTTTCCCCACATCCTTAACTACCTAGAAAAGCATTTGAAAAATTGAAATTATGTTTGCAAAACGTCACTAATCCTCTGGGCAGCAGTCATTGGGAACGTGCTAGGTATGACTGCGATGAGAGGATCGACATGACAGGTGACCCGTTTTGACCCCAGTGAGTAATTAGGTAAGTTTGCATTCTGCTCGGTGTGTGATGTGTTCTCTGAGGACGCTGACCGAGATCAGATGGCCAGACGATTAAGAGGGTCCTGCCCCGATGGCCTCCACGGGCCGACACTACCCTGCTCCGTGCACACGGCTCTAATAATGGACACTTAACCTACCGGGACCCGCTTTATGTTTGGGGACGACCTCGTCACCTGGAGCAGAGTAACGCCGTGCCCCCCTCTGGGTACTTTATTCCCTGGGCCGGCCCTCTGTGCCGGGAGGGGGTTGTTGATGACTCGTGCAGATGCACAGTGCGGCGCTGCCCAGGAGCACACGGGGGACAGCTCACTGTTCTTGCTTCTCCGTCAGGTTCACCAGCACCAGGACCGGGGAGAGACCTTCCAGTGCCAGCTGTGCCCTTTCACGTCCTCACGCCACTTCAGCCTGAAGCTCCACATGCGCTGCCACCAGCACTTCCTGAGGACAGAAGCCAAGGTGAAGGAGGAGATCCCAGACCCAGATGTCAAGGGATCTCCCCACCTCAGTGACAGTGCCTGCCTGGGGCAGCAAAGGGAAGGAGGAGGGACAGAGCTAGTGGGGACCATGATGACGGCCAACACTCCAGAGAGGACTAGCCAGGGTGGGGCTGGCATCTCGCCTTTGCTGGTGAAGGAGGAACCCAAGGAAGATAACGGCCTGCCAGCCTCCTTTACCCTGAATGCTGCCGACAGGCCGGCCAACCACACAAAGCTGAAAGACCCCTCCGAGTATGTGGCCAACAGTGCGTCAGCATTGTTCAGCCAGGACATCTCTGTTAAGATGGCGTCTGATTTTCTCATGAAGCTGTCAGGTACTTGAATAGGGTTGTATTCTCTCTCTCTCTGTCCCCCCCGCCCCTTCTCTGCCAGTATTCTCATCTGTAAAGTGAACTGGTAGGACTCGATGATGGCAAGGTGCCTTTAAATTCTGGTAGTCTGTACCTTCACACATTTTCCCCTGGACTTTTTTCCCAGTCCTTTGGAAGTAGGCCTTGCTGTGGTTTGGGTCTGGAAACAGCAGGGCTCACTGATGGCCTTCGAGTTTTTCTCCTTTATGGACTCTTGCTGTGGGGGAAAGGTCACCTGGTGAGCCAGCTCAGTGGCCGTTCTTTGTGTGACCTTGGCCCTTACTGAACTTGTCTCCGCCTTGGGTTCTTTAAAGTGCTGTGTGGAACACTTCATTTTGCATTACTCAAGTTCTTTGCTGTTAATTTGAAAGATTTTTTCAAAGGGCCTATATACAGAGGCTACTATTAGGAATTAGAGACTTTAAAATTTTGATTAAATGGTAAAGATTATCTTAGAATTAGTTTTTTCCCCAGGGGAGATCTTTTAATTGTGATAAAATATACCCAACAGGAAATTAACCATTTTTAAGTGTGCAGGTCTTCGGCGTGAAGCACATTCACATTGTTGTGCAACGGTCATCACCGTCCATCTCCGCTCTTCTCATCGTGGCACTGAACAGTGACTCCCTCCCCCAACTCCTGGTAGCCGCCCTTGCTCTTGCTGTCTCTATGAATTTGACCTCATATAAAGCAGAATTAGAGTTTTTGAAAAAATTATTTTCCAACTACCCAAATGCCATTTGGAAAGATACGGAGTATAAGTTGTAAACAATTATTTTTATTCATTGATATCAGTCACTTTCACCATCAAATTATACGAGCGTTTTTTTGTTTGTTTGTTTGTTTGTTTGTTTTCAATGCCTTGGATCAAGTTTGTGGAGTTGAACGGGGCAGGTAGAGAAGCCGAGGGGGCCGCTTTGCCTGACTATCTTTAGAATGACGAGACACTGTGGGATTGTGCTGCTACTCATCTCATTTTTTTGAAGTACAATTTTAAATTTTAAAGGCGATGTGGAGGGTGGGGAAAGGTCGGCCGAGGATCGGTTCTGTCTTGCAGTGCCGACGGCAGTCCCCACGATGGTTTCCAAATGCCACTTCAGCTCTTTGGAGATTGACAATACCCTTTTAAATGGAGAATAATTGGTCGCCGCCTTCCTTTAAATGGACTGTGAGCCGCATTTCACTAAATGTCATTGCCAGGTGAATTAGAGGCTCGGTTTCACTCTGAAGACCCCATGCTCGGCGACACTTCAGTCAGGTCTTCTGGAATGTCCCTGACACCCCAGATCTCTGCTCCTTAGGGGTGCCCAGCGCTAGTTGGAAGAATGAGAAAAGGTAGGGGATAGAAATGAGGCGTCACAGGAATGAGCATCGGAGGGGAAGAGGGCAGAGTCCGGGAGGCAAGCAGACCTGCGGTGTGAGTGAGGTGCGAATGAGGCAGCCCTGCTCTGGGAACAGTCAAGTCCTAGGAGTTCAAGTGCGTCTGACTGGGCTCAGACAAACAGGAGGTTCTCTGCTGCCCCGCCCCCATGCCACCGTCCCCTTCTTCCAGCTCATCTGAGGGGAATTGAGCTTTTAGAGACTGCCGGGTTTTACATTGAAATACTGTTGAAAGGAGGGGGCTACTGAGGAGAGGGAGGGAAGTACAGGCTTCTAGTGTCCCTTTTGCTGTCGACACTTTAGTCTTTCCCTCCCCATCATCTTTGGTTCTTCCTTGACGGTCTCCCGCCAATGGCAGAGCCCAAGGGGCTCCTTTTCTGGACTCTTCTAGTGCAAAACCAGGGAATGCAAAGGGCATCTTCCCTGAGCAGAGCACAGGAAGAGAGACAGACATCTTACTAACAGGGAAAACCGAGGGTGGGTGAGTAACTCCTAGTAAGGGGTTACTCCCCACACTCCACCACGCTGGGAAGTTTTCAAACCTGCAGGAGGAAGGGTTGGATAAAACAGTTGGTGTAGGATACACCACTCTGCTCGGCTCAGCCCTGGTGCCCCACATCCGGCTGTAACTAACTCCAGACCCAATCTCAGGGGGCCTAACTGAATACCAGAATGGCAAACAGGAGTTCCACCAGCACCGAAGCCAGTCGGTAGCTTAAGGTAAAAAACTGTGCCTTCTATTGTGATCTGTTTTCTCAGCTAGCTATTGAAGGGAACTTGTTTACGGTTTGGCAGTCACAGTATTTACCAACTGATCAATTGGCAGAGGAAAACAGATAACAAATGCACACTATTTATGCAAAAGGCCCATGCAGCTATTTTATGGTGGCTTACTAAAGGTCCTGAAACCTGACTTGTGTGCACTGTTACCTAGCAACCTGTTACGAAGTCACTGGGGAGTGAGATGCATCGGTAATTTTTTTGTGTGTGCATATTTGGATGTAAATGTAAACTCGGCGACTGTGGCGATGCAGCCCACGGGAGAAGAAGGTATGTTCCAAGGAGAGGAATACATTTTCTGGAGGAAATTTTTTTTTAATTCCACTAGCTCTTTGGATGGCCGAGCCCTGTAATTGATAGCTGCCGTCACTGTGGTGCTGTGTGTGCCCGACTGTGTCCGTGGCTGCGATCCTGGGACCAGAGGACCAAATCCCAGAGAACTATGGCTGAGCATCTAGCTCTTTCCCTACTCAAATGTAGTGCAGTCACGGTCAACATTGGGCCTTGTCCCTCAGTGTCACAACGACACCATTGTTCTTGCGCCGAGTGTTAGCTGGGCTCTGTGCGCGCACCTGCTGGGGCTGCAGGGAGCAGCTGTTGGTGGGCCCAGCGTCTGTGAGTGTCTGTGCCAACCTCATCACTGTCCACAGAACTGGAGCACAGTGACAGATTCAAGCATGTACATACCTACTTGTTTCCAAAAGAGAGATGGGAAACACTTGATTCTTTCTTACTTGGTTATTAAGGGGAGTCTTTCTTGCTCTTTCCACTAAAACCAAGCATAGAGATGACCTTAGGGAAGCCAGTGGGATTAAAATTACCGGTGGAATGCTGCTTTAAACAGACTCTCCGTCTTCCTCCCACCCACACCCCGATTTCCACATATGCCAGCTCATGTGCTTGTGAAATCGAACCCCTTCTCCCAGTCATCAGCTAACGCTTCTTCTGCCTGAGCCCACACTTAACATTCCCGGGTCCTTCGAGATCGATGCTGTTCCCTGGAACCGGGGCTTTCCAGGCTCAGCACCATGATTGATTTAGGGGAGAGAATGGGCCGGCCCCGCTGCTGGCTTTCTAGGCCATGAGAAAAAATAATTTTGTAAACTTTGCTCAGGGTTTTGGCCCAGAAGGCAGGTCTTTGAGGGCTGCAGCCCTACTTGTTTGCATAGATCTTTCTTGGGAGCCAGGAGACATATGCAGGTGGTTGCATCTCTGGGCAGGGGATCCAGGGGCCGCATGACCTGGGCTGTGCAGGCGAGAGGGCTCACCTGAGCTCAGAGCACGGAAGTTCCTGCTGCTTCTGTGCCTTCTCTCTGCCACCCAGCACCCAGCAGCAGGCCTAACTTTGGAGTTTTTGCTTTGTTTTGTTTTGTTTAATGCCAGGGTCCAGCCCACTCCCAGAAATTAGGATTCAGTTGTTCTGGGATAAGGCCTAGTCATTGATATTCTCTTTAAAATCCTCAAATGATTTTAACATGCAACCAAGACCGAGGACCACTGATATGGAATAGAAACTTGGTACCTGGTACAGCTTCTTTTCAGTACAGCTTTCTTCCCTTGCTTTGTATCCCAGACCATGAAAGGGGCGTGGTGGTGTGAGGTGGGTCTGGGGCCTTCCACAGAGGTCAAGGTTGCCGTGGGTGAGAGGCCTGGCTGAGTCATGTTCATTAAACCCCAAGTTCTTCCTCGTGGAGCCCCGTGACAGGAGAATTAGAAGAAACATCTTAATGTTCTCTAGTTAGAACTAGGAAGTCTCATGCCTCATCTAGAACGTCGAGGGGCTCGGCGTATCCTTACTGAGGCCTGATTAAACGTTGCCTGCTATGGCCTTACGTCATGTCTCTTTCTGAAAACTACACTTTTCAAGATGTATAATTTAATTTTGGCTCTCCAAATTATAACCCAGGCCTTGACAGAAACTTGGCCCCTCAGTTGTTGGCTGGGAATATCTTTTTGTCTCTGATTTTTTAAAATAAAAGATACAAGTCACGTCAAGTATTTTAAAATTGGAAATGGGCAAAAAAATTTATACAGCCTTCCACATTTTGTTAGTTTCATAAACTCACTGCTGAAGTGATCTTAACTGGGAGAGACAGACTTTTTAAAGCAGTGACTTACTTACAAATGGGTACAAGCGGAATTGCTTTTAATTTTTAAGGAGCACGGCTATAAAACAGCCAAGGTCTTCTTGTGTAAATGAACTGGGGCTGGTGAACATATTTGCATCCCATAGACCTTTGTTCTGCCACTCCCATCTATTCTGTCCCTTCTGTGCACCGGAGGATACAGGATGGTTAGTCTGTGAAGGGCCGCTGCCCTGTCTGTCCTGTGATACATCTGTTCGTGCTTCTGCAGATGGAGGGGTGATGGGAGACACCCAGTACACCGGGTCGTCCTTATTGCCTGGTGGCTCTGAGGGGCTTTCTGTTAAACAACTCAACAAACCAGCTGTTGTTCCAGTAAGTGCCATCTTGGGGCATTCACGCCCAAGGACTTCGGTGCCAGTGGCCAGGGGACTCTCCCACACCCCACGCCTGGGTGCCTTCCCCAGTGGGTGTATTTTTGGCCACCTTCCTTTGTGTCCTCGGTTTGGCCCCTCTTGTTAACCCTGCCTCACTTGTTTCCTGATGGGCACTCGCCGACCACGTGACTGAAATCCCTGGTGTCAGAAGCTGCATTTAGGGACTTCACATGCAGGCAGCCTGAATGCCCTTAGGAAATTGTGGATTTTAATATTGAACCTGGGGGTGATTCCCACGAGCAGGGGAGTGTGATGCTTTCCTGGTCTTCAGTGACTTGCGCCT